AGAATTGCGACTTTATATCTCGCAATTGCGATTTTATTTCTCCGAATTGCGACTTTACATCTCGCAATTGCGATTTTATTTCTCCGAATTGCGACTTTATATCTCGCAATTGCGACTTTATTTCTCAGAATTGCGACTTTATATCTCCCAATTGCGACTTTATTTCTCAAAATTGCGACTTTATATCTCCCAATTGCGACTTTATTTCTCAGAATTGCGACTTTATATCTCGCAATTGCGACTTTATTTCTCGGAATTGCGACTTTATTTCTCAGAATTTCGTCTTTATATCTTGCAATTGCGACTTTATTTCTCAGAATTGCGACTTTATATCTCGCAATTGCGACTTTATTTCTCAGAATTGCGACTTTATATCTCGCAATTGCGACTTTATATCTCGCAATTGAGACTTTATTTCTCCGAATTGCGTCTTTATATCTTGCAATTGCGACTTTATTTCTCAGAATTGCGACTTTATATCTCACAATTGCGACTTTATTTCTCAGAATTGCGACTTTATATCTCGCAATTGCGACTTTATTTCTCAGAATTGCGACTTTATATCTCGCAATTGCGACTTTATTTCTCCGAATTGTGACTTTATATCTCGCAATTGAGACTTTATTTCTCTGAATTGCGACTTTATATCTCGCAATTGCGACTTTATTTCTCCGAATTGTGACTTTATATCTCGCAATTGCGACTTTATTTCTCAAAATTGCAACTTTACATCTCACAATTGCGACTTTATTTCTCGGAATTGCGACTTTATATCTCGCAATTGCGACTTTATTTCTCCGAATTGCGACTTTATATCTCGCAATTGCGACTTTATTTCTCCGAATTGCGACTTTATATCTCGCAATTGCGACTTTATTTCTCAGAATTGCGACTTTATATCTCGCAATTGCGACTTTATTTCTCACAATTCTGAATTCATATCTCGCAATTGTGAGATAAAAAGTTGCTCTCTAGCAGCAGCAATAACAGCATTGCAGCAGATCTATTCCACCGAGACAGAAATATGCATGTTTTAATGTTCATGTGTTGAGTTTTCCACATGGACTTGACATGGAAACTGATCATATACCCTAAATGAGAATTCCTTAGCAACCTGCCTGTGTGTCTACTCACACCACTGAACCTTATTTACATGCACCGCCATGTTTGTGAATGCAAATCTTCAGAAACCGACAAATAAAAATGGTTTTCATCTATTTTGATGTACTCCCCATGGGATGTCTGCGAGAGCCACGTGTAGCAAAGCTCAGCACCAAATGTGCCTGCTCAGCATTGGTCTGGATAAAGCTTGCATATTCACCCTCATGAATAGGAGATGGGCATGTATGTGGCATCAGCTCCATCATCACTTGCCCATTTTATGCTCCAGAGGTCATCTGAATTCAACATCTTTAAGTCTTTAATGAAATTAAAGCTTTGAAGTTTGTCAAAGTAGATAGATTTTTTCTAGCGCTTTGTGTCCCACAAGGACAGGAAATTATGCAACTGTTTTGCTCTAAGCACTCCACGATTCTCAACGTACCACGTTATTCATTATGACGTTTTTTTGTTCCAAGGTTTCATAACATGCTCCTTAAAAGGATGATGTTAAAATGCTTCATCATGAATTGTGTAATGGTCTGAGTACATGTATTGTAATCTATTGTGATGTAGATCTAGAGTGAACTATTCATATTGCATGAAGTTTATTGTGCTTTAAAACACAGTGTCAATCTCGAATGAATAACAGAGTATATTTAATGAATTTTGCAGCTTTAGAGAGACCTAAAACATTTCTTGTAATTGCATATTTATACAAATGCAATATAATACTGCCGTTATTTCTATATTATTAATTATTTTAATTATTCCTATAAAAAATTAATTGTATTTTATCTTTTTAAATGATTAATATTAGCATGTTCCATTATTAAATTTGATTGCATATACATTGCACAGTGTTAGACCAGAACTTTCAAATGCTTCCTATTTGTCTTTCTATTTCATTCCTTTTTTCATAGTTGATCTTTCTCAGTTTCTCTTTTCTTTCTCATTCGCTCTCTGCAGCCCCCTCTCAGGCAAGTGCCCTGTTTTATATCATTTATTTATTCAAGAACCCCATGGACTCCCCGTGGATCTCTGGCACCACCGATTAAAAATGAATGTTGTGGTTCAAATAAGCCCTGTGTCTGCCGCCTAGGTCACAACAACTCGGCGAGCTGAATGGGCAAGGCCGGATCACGCTGTGTGTGTGGGTGGACAGCACTCAGATATATCAGAGCTTGTGGATTACACAACATTAGTAATAACATTACTAATGTTCAGGCTACTCTTCAATCCGCTTGAGTGTCGGCCAGAGATACAAATACAGAGATATGTAATTGAACGCTGTACGCTCTTGATCCGATGACACTTTTGGGGCATATCCACTTCTTAGGTGATTTCTTTTTCAGTTTTGTTGTTTGAATGTGGTGTGCTCTTTACTGCATGTTAATGTTTCTGGAATGGTTCATCATTAGTTAAAGGTGCTCTAAGCGATGTCGGGTGACTTGACTTCTACGGAGGCTAGATTGACCCTCCCTCCTCCTCATCTGCGCACTGACCCCCCAAACCCCACCCCCAGGGCCTTCTTGTCAGTTATTGGCTGGAACAGTTTGTTATGTTTCGTGGAGCGGGTTGCCGCAGTTTGTTTTTGTTGCCATGGGTTGTCTGCATAGACAGCATTTTTTACAGTGCATGTGTTTAGGGGACAGGCAGCTAGCGGATAGTGAAGAGATGTTTGCTATATGTGACAATAAATGTTTTGGCCTAAAAAAAAGCGTGACATCGCTTAGAGCACCTTTAACGTTTATGCATTAAATTACATTATGGGCAGGGCATTTATTACATTATTAATCTCTGTTAGTGTTAGTATAGAAGCCTTTTTTCTTATATATATATATATATATCACTCAAAAAAAAAAGGTACAAAAGCTGTGACTGGGGCTGTACCTTCTACAAAGGCTGCATATTGGAACCTTAGTGGTACATATTAGCACCTAAAATGGACAGATTAGCTCATGAAATGTACATATCAACACTTAAATGTACATATTAACACCTAAAATGTACTTATTAGCACCTAAAATGTACATATTACCACCTAAAATGTACATGTTAGCACCTAAAATGTACATATTACCACCTAAAATGGACATATTAGCTCCTGAAATGTACATATTAACACTTAAATGTACACATTAACACCTACAATGTACTTATTAGCACCTAAAATGTACATATTACCACCTAAAATGTACTTAACAGCACCTAAAATGTACATATTAGCAACTAAAATGTACTTTTTAGCACCTAAAATGTACATATTAACACCTAAAATGTACTTATTAGCACCTAAAATGGACAAAAGTGTACCTTTTGAAAAGGTACAGCCCCAGTGACAGCTTTTGTACCTTTTTTCTGAGAGTGTACGTTGCTCTCTGGTATACTTGATTCTGATTGGTCAGTCGCATCAATCATGGGTTTGATTTTTTTCTTATACTTACCGTCATCTGTATATTCAAATTCAGTCGATTACTATATATATAAATAATCTTTTTTTTGACGATTTGTACATTGCAATGGACTATTTTTACTTCATAGTGCGGGATAAACTTTTTTGTTTATTTTGAGATAGTGGCCAGCTTTCTTTACGTTTATTGCTTATAATTTTAGCATTGAAAGTGTTATTGAGTCTAGTATTATTGAGTGACAGTTATCTGAATTTCCCCTTGGCCTTATTAAAAGTACTTCAATATTTTTGGATTTCTTCAGTCATTTCCATTTACGTGCAGTGCCTCAGTTCTCCGTCTCCTTCTCTAATATATGACTTGGTTTTCTCTCCTTCTCCATATCTTCATTAAATGTTGATGGGGATGAGTGAAACCAATAATCCTCAGACCTCACTGCAAAAAAACATAGCTGAAAATCAATAGGTTTGCAGCAGTGTGGAAAGAGAAAGAGAGAGAAAACTCTCTTCTATCAAATATTAATCATTCATTTCCTCAAGGGAATTAGGAGAGTGCTGGTGATCTGCTGTCTGACCCAATTAAGATCCTCCTGCTTATCTCACTTAGGTTCACTATTACTTCCAGCTTTGGTTATATTGTCTTTGTACGTAGATTGAGTGACAACAAAGAGCAATGGACGCTGGGAGAACACTGGTACCACACTTGGGTAAGCCAGCGTCCTTTTGTCGCTTTAGCTGGAGCTCCTAACACATGAAAGCTCAGAACACTTCAATTGAAATTTTCTCCCATATCCTCAGGGTTAGGAAGCATATAGTATACCTTTTATAATCAATTTGCAAGTAACTATGAGAAACCCTCAAATCTAGCAGTGGTAACACTGAAGGCTTTTTTGTGTGTTTTCCTCAGGTCTGTGAAGTGAAAGCCATTCAATGTCACAATGCTGCTCTGTTGATGAAATTGTCCATTTCTTTTGAAGAAATCTGTTTTGTATTTGAGCATTTGGAAATAAATGAACCATAACAGGCCTGAAGGCTTGGCAATCTGAAATTTTATTCTTGTCTGTTGTTACATCTTGAAGGTTATTGTTTTGTGCATTATACTTTTAGATTTCCCACGCTAACATTACTGAATTTAAGTTTTAGTTAGTAATTTTTGACACATTTGGTAACACTTCTTGAAGGGGTGTGCATAAGACTAACAGGACACATTCATAATCATGACATGACATTACGATTATGACAACTGTCATTAAGTTTCATTCGCTCATTATGACAATTTAATGCAAATATGACATTGTTTGAGATGTCTTTGTTGTGACACCTGGACATAAACCAATTTGTCATGACAACTTGACATTACAGTAGACATTACTGCCTACTCTTTCTAATCTTTATAAATGTTTTATCTCATCTTCATCTCCTCAAGTCTTTAAATGAGGGACAAAACGGTGACTGATATTGTTATATTGTTGTGTATCTCTATTTGTTCTAGTGCTTGTTCCCAGTCCATGTTCTGCTGCTTCCACGAGGAAGTGCAGCTCCATCTATAAAGGGTTTGCCCACTGTCTGCTTGCCCTGGGAGACAGTCTCTCTGTCAGTACCCAAAAAGAGGAGGATACGCAGGAGATCGACTCCATTTGCAAGTAAGCTCAAACCCTGCTCCAACACAAACAAGCATGCGGATGTTCTGTGCATTTGAAAGAAATGAATTAATTTTTCAGCAAGTAAGCAAAAAATTGATCGATAGTGACAGTAAAGACTTTTAAATTATTACAAAAATGTAAGTGTATCATGGTTTCCACAAAAATATTAAGCACCTCAATAGTTTTTAACATTGATAATAAGAAATGCTTCTTGAGCAGCAAACCAGCATGTTAGGATGATTTCTGAAAGATCAGTCTTGATTAATAATTCTGAAAATTCATCTTTTCATCACAGAAATAAATTACATTTTAAAACATATTTTCAGGTATTTTAAACATTTCACATTTTACTGTATTTTTGATCAAGTATATCCAGCTTTGTTGAGCACACAAACTTTCTGACCCCAAACTTTTGAACAGTAGTTCATATACAGTACAGAACAGTAGTTCTATATATATATATATATATATATATATATAATCATGGACAATTACAAATCATAATTGTCTTTTATCACAATAACTCAACAGTGAATAAGATGAAACATGGGGTGAATTTATATTAATTTCTTGTGACAAAAACATGATAATTTTTTTAATTGATAATTAATCAATTTGTATGTTTTTCCCCCTGAGTCACATTTTTATCCTGTAAGTCTTTTGTAACATCCCTTTAAATAACTAAAAAAAAAGGCATAATGACATCAACTGCTATGAAGTGACATCAGTTTGTTGGTTAAACAACAACACATGATTATAATATTAATAATTGATTTGATAAATTATGTGATGTTTGGTGGTTTCATGAATTGTAACTAACTCTCAAAGGCAAAGCTCTTTATTTCCATCAGATTAGATTCCATTATGTTCATTTTCTTCCCATTGTGTAAAAAATGAAGTTATTTTTGATGACATTTGAGTCTCTAAGCTTCTCCACACTGTTAAAAATAACCCTGTGAAAAAAAAACGGTAAACTACTGGCAGCTGTGGTCATCATACCGTAAAAATATGGTGTGTTACCGTTTTTTTTAAATTAACAGTAATTTAAATGACTGTTAAATTACAGTATATAACAGTAAAGTAACAGCATATACCTGTAGCTGACAAAACGGTATTTAGCTGTTAATTTCTAAAACAGTTACACACCGTATTTTTACGGTATGATGCTGGCAACCACAGCTGCCAGTCGTTTACCTTTTTTTGCAGCATTTTTCTGAAAAAGTCTGGCATACCTTTATTTATATATATATATATATATATGCACACAGAGAGAGAGAGAGAGAGAGAAACTGTAAAAAAAATTCTGTCATTTACAGTTTAAAACTGTAATTTACACACAAAAGAAAATGTTTTACAATGGTAAATCCAACAGTCCATTTATTACTTTTAACATATACTGATATCCGCCATAATAATTTCATCACAAATACAATACATAACTAATAACAAAAAAAATAATAATAAGAGGAAACATAATTAATACAATTAAAACCCATCAAATGTGACACAGAGAGAATTGAATGTCATTTTACGGCTTTTCACTGTAAATTATAAGATGATTTGTTCTTTTTACTTAAAATAATGGTACAACAGTATTTTACTGTAAAATGACACAAACTGTAAGGTTATATATATTACCATTTTCTCTGTATACACTCCAAAAAATCCTAGGTTGTTTTAACCCAATTTTGGGTCAAATATGGACAAACTCAAACGTTGGGTTAAAAATGTAATTTAAAAATGTAACCCAATGGCTGGGTTTGTCCATATTTGACCCAAAATTGGGTTAAAACAACCCAGCACACTCAAAAAAATGCTGGGTAGTTTCAACCCAAATTTGGGTCAAAAATGGACAAACCCAAATGTCGGGTTAAAAAATGCAATAAAAAAATGTACATTTGAAAGTTATTTGAAATTTGAAATGACATTTTTAACCCAACATCTGGATTTGTCCATATTTGCCCCAAATTTGGGTTAAAACAACCCAGCATTGTTTAGAGTGTAGCACAAGAACATACTTGTTCATATTTTCTAAAAGTGACTAAGGTCAAAAGGTCAAGCTGAACAGAAATGACCCGGCAGCACATTAACTTTCAGTACAGCCACATAAAATACCTCACGCTCAGAGCACAGGAGTATTCGCCGTATACGCCGTTCATTGTGTTGTCCCAGGGAGAATGTGATATAAAGCATCGCAGTTCACTGATATGACACCTCATTCATTCTCTAACTCCCCGCACTGACTTTCATCTCATTTTCTGTTGCTCCCTTCCACGCTTTTCTCCATTTCTTCCTCTGCTCACTCATCTTTCTCCTCTTCCCTGGATATTCTAATTAAAGACTCTCTCTCTATTTCCCTGTCTGTCTGTCTCTTTCCGTCTGCCCCTCCATAGATCATGCATCTATGATACGTCTTTATTTTGTGGCACACCCTGTAGCTGCAGGACCTCTTTAAGTATTCATTGTGTAGCAGCATGATGTTGTTAAAGAATATCCTCCAGTCAGACTCAATCCGTTACACCTCGCACGTTTACGCCGCTTACTGAATGAATGGTGATGTATGCGACAGCATTATATGGTCCTGCGTTCAGCATTCAAAGCATACATAAGCAGGAAATGAGGAGTGCTTTCTTTAACACAGCTATTTAAGTGTTATTCCTCCAGGTGTCAATTAATCCTGCCACTGAGCTTAGTGACCTTGTGCACACACACATGCATAAACACAGGTACGCACGCACACATTCACACGCATCATTTGTCAGGGGATCTTTTGCTACAGTAACAATCTGCAAAGCGTCAGGCTTAGGCCAACACTGCTCCTGTCTCGGAGATCTGAGAGGGACGTTTAAGAAAGAATTAGTGGTGAAGGACAGACTTCCACTATGAACATCATCACTGTTTAAGATAGGTAACAGTCTCGCTGTGCTTCAGTCTATTTCAGAGCTGGGGATTTAACATTAAAGGGTGTTTCTTCACTGGGAACTTTTATGTGCCTGGGGTTGTTTTATCAAAACTTAACAGATTTTTTATTATTATTATATGAAGGTCACATTTAAACTTGTGAAACTCTTGGGAACTTTTACTTTTTGTCTTTGTAACAGATATTTTTTTTATTATCAGTTGAATGTCACATTTAAAATTGGGAACTTTTATTTTTGTCTTTTTATAGTTTTTTTTCTGCTACTTTTTTTCTGTGTAGATTGTTTTACTCTTGTTTCAGACCCAGGCTTTCCGATGTTAAAATGTAAAAAACAATCCATCATATAAATATTATTAAAGGGGTGATGAACTGAGAAATCAAATTCGATCAAGAAAATCAAGAACGGTGCTGTGCCGTCTATATTGGATCCGACAGGAATGGTGCAACACACGGACTCGGGGTCGAACGTGTATGGGCGAATCATTCCGGTTGCCATTTTACAACATTGGACATTTTCAAAACAATCCACGTGCACTGACGAGTGAGTTGAAACTCATTATAATATGCAAAACTGTTATCCACTCACAGCAGTGGGCGTTTACTTCCAAGTCTTCAGTGCGAGACGCCCATAAAAACTGAGCGTTTTTGAGCTAGGCTCAAAACTAGGGTAGAAAATAGCCTATTACTTATTCAATTTGATGTTTAGAATGTAAAAACCAAGCGAACTTCATAAGTTTACCTCGGACGGATAACAATATAATAAAATTTAAAAAGCCAGTTCATGACCCCTTTAATATTACAAAAAACAAAATATCACATTTTAATTCACAATTTAACATCATAATTTAGTTATTTAGTAAAATAATAAATCAGTTTACAATTTATTTAGGTGATAAAGATTTACTGTTCTTCAGTTTTTATGTTATTTCTACCCATAATCAATCATTTTGACAGAAAGGTTTCTCAAAAAATAGTGTGTTTGGTTACCAAGGAGACAACAGTGAAGAGCATGCCTAAGATGAAATATGAGATGTGTACAGAAAATAATTAAAAAATCTTGGTAACCATCACTTGTGAACAGAATATTTGTATTAAGATTAGGCTGTAATTTTGTCTAATTATGGAGAAAAAAAACGTTAAATGTGTTTTTAAGGTAGGCCTACATAATATGTACAAAAATAATAATAATTTTCATCACATAATGATATTGTTGAGAAAAACATCATTGTGTGACTATATTGCGTATTCTTGCATCAAGCTGTTTTACTCATCAGTATTGCTCAAAGATTCAACAAATCCTGAAATCCTTGCTTACTAAAAATAAACATCAGTTCAGTACTACTATTGCATGCAGTTTATTAATTATGGGCATTCATATATCTTGATATATGGTCATTTTAGAGTGTATAAATCAACCAAAGATGTTACTTTGCAGAGGTTTTTTTAATCTAAAACAAATAGTGTTTAATACTTAACGGTTTATGACTCATTAAAAAGCCTGTAGTGCTACCTTCTTCTTTATTTTAAACTATAGCTACATGAGGGTTGTTTCAGATGTTCATTCATTATTCAGAACATTTAACCTTACGCTTGTGTCTGTTGGCTGTTGCAGATCCTGGGATGATTTTCATGACTGTGCAAATGTGGCCATGGCCGGCTGTCCCGAGGAGGCTGCGACGGTGTGGGAGTCTCTGAGACAAGAGTCCAAAAAGATGCAGTTTTCTGGAAACCTGTATGAGATGTGCTCCAGTCGCAGCCAATCCCAGAGCCCCGATGAGACCAATCAGGAGTCGTTAAAGGGACGCGCTAGTCATAAAAGTCTGACCTTTCTGACCTTTTGTTTGCCTGTGCTACTACTGTTTCCATGGATATAATCGCATCTCAAGACTCACAATATCCAGCACATATAGACAACGATACGGACTGCTTTTGTTCGGACATTTTCATACAGATCTCATGTAGTACGATAAGATTCGTTTTATGTTCGGAACAACAAAGAATGTCATTTCCACACAAAGGACACGTTTTCAGGTCCAAGTGCTTACTAATTTATTGTTTAATTATGACGAAAGAAATCTTAAAGCTAGGGTAGGCAATGCTTTTCAAAAACACTTTTTGTTATACTGGTTTTCACATCCTGATAGCGAATCGCGATCAATAATAGAAGTGGTCTACATGTTAAAAGATGTACATATATCTTAGGAGTCTCAGGCCAAAAAATGTCCAAATGCGGTCCGAATGCAATGATAGGATGTTCTACTTTCCTGTCAGCCTATGGGTGTGTCTCAATCAGCTCCCTAGTTCAGTAGCCATTTTAAGAGTTTCTCATTTGCGGCGCTGAAACTTTCGCTCCCTAAAAAGTCCCACAATGCACCGATAAAACCAGGGATGTTCCCTTAAATCACGAGCCAACTCACTAAAAATAACGACACGCCATATAGATGTTTTCTAAAATACAAACCTTTATTTTATTATATTTCAGCATAAACATACATCGCTAGACAGGTAATGAACACAATCTAGCTAACATTTATCATTTATTTATGTTGCACAAATATGTAACAAGCTAAATATTTATCATAATGTACTTTAAAGGAAAACTCCAGCGCAAAATAAACCTTTGGTCTATTTACACATTGGTACATAGTCAGCCGTTCTCTGAGATTTGTTTTCATGATTATTGAATGTAAAGAGTTTTATCGAGTAATGAAAATAAAAATCGCTAGTTTATACCGCTAACAAGGCTCAAAATAGCCTCACACTAACGCAGTAACATAATGAGGGTCCCTACATGCAAACCGAAGCATTGAGAACGTTGTAAGTGTACAGACCGTTTATTAAGAAGATACTTTATAAAGACAGTCAACTTCGGGAATACAGGCAGGAGCCATCTTTGGAAAACAGTCTCGACAAGTCGAACCACGAACGCCGAGCTAAGTGCGCTGGTGAGATGAACGAGCCAGGCGTTCGTGGTTCGACTTGTCGAACTTGAAAATGTTGTTAATTCAGCCAGCGCACATACCATTTGCTTCCTGTTTTCGGTCGAAGTCCACAGTAGTCGATTGTCGAACTCACCCGCGCGATCATTAGTGAATATCATCTCAAACCTCCTCCGCGTGTTCAACATCTGATTCGGATGAACTATCCATTTGAGCTGATATTCTCAGAACAACACACAGTTTGAGATGATATTCACTAATGATCGCGCGCGTGAGTTCGACAATCGACTACTGTGGGCTTCGACTGAAAACAGGAAGTAAACACGGGTATGTGAGCTGGCTGAATTAACAATTTTTATTAATATCTTTCACATTTAGTGCAGTCAGATTGACCGTGGGCACTCTTAATAACACCGCTCACATGACTGTGCACTCGTGAAAAATCAAGGATGTTAAGAACCTAAAAGCAGGTTAGAACATGCCCCATTGAAGTCAACAGGGTGCGAATTTTAAAAAGACGATAACACGGTGTAGGAAACACCGATTTTTGTCATTTTTGTCTGTACTGACATCACTCCAAATTTACAAAAAAATGAGCTCAATGTTAAAATTGACCGGAGTTTTCCCTCAAGAGATGGCAACCCGTGACGTTCGTACTCATACACTACTAACAGCGACATGAATCTACAGCAGTCAGAGCTCTTTAAGTTATCTGTGTTCATTGTAATGTTAAGTTCTTTGAGACATGAGGTAATTTAACGCCGCCTCTCGTGACGTTTAGCAGAGGATGTGGCTTTAGAGATGCTCCGAAGGGAGGGTGGGATCTTATGCTTTCAAAGCTAGCTTGCTAATGCTAGCCTTTCCGAAATTGCCTACCTTACCTTTTAAAATAGCAAATCATGGCACAATTCAAATGTCCTTAATGCACCTCTAATGACTCCAGGCCTGATGAGGACAAACCGAAGATGGCGAAAGACATTTCCAAACATTTGAACCTTCATCTAAGAGGATATAAAATGAAGGTATACTGCAATACATTATTATATTTGTGAGATATGAGTATCGAAGCAATGTAAAGAGCCCTAAAAAGTTATTTCACTCTGTTGTGTAATCTTCTTTTATAGGATCCTAAGAGGATTAAGTTTAAGGATTACACCAAATAAAAGTAAATTCAAGCAACACTGCTCACCTAGGCTTTGCCTGGGAACAGTTTGTAGTCTGAATCCCTTTGGGTGACGGTTGAAACCCAATTTATTATTGACGGGTTCATTGATTCACTTTAACGGATAGCACAGCATTATGCTTCAAGGTGTTTTTGTGCTAGTCTGTGTCTGTATGGAACTGCTGTTTATTTGATTTTGGTCAGAGTACTGTGTATATATTGTCTTACATTATACATTACTCATGGCTAATTTTAAATTTTTGGGGGTATATGTATTCGTAATAATGGATTAGCTTAAAAAAAACACTTCATGATGGAAATATATTGTAAATATGACCGATATGCTGTAAAGAAGAGCTTAGCTGATGAATATATTATAAAGATGAGGTAAATCAATGGAGGTGAACCTAGCATCAATCAGATCAAATGAATATCAGCGTATTTCTTTGTATACATGACTTTGTGTGTAAAGCGATGGAGGTTTTTCCCCGGATCTGCTTTCATACCTCCACTCAACTCTGCTCTGCTCAGCGGATTCCTCAGTCAATGTGATTTATGTTTAATTTTTAGGCTTAATTGGCAATCAATCATGTTTGCCAATGCAGTGAACTTATTAAAGAGGGCAAAAGCCATTTATGTAGTCTGAGAAAACAACAAACATTTTAATAGGGAAGGATTGCCATTGCTTTTTGTGTAGTAAACTTCTAATGAAAATGTCTAAATAATATAGTAAGGGCTAATATGTATGTACAGATGTTGTGTGTACATCATAGTTCTCATTAATGCCTCCCTTATTTATAATCTCTGGCCGTTATATATAAAATATTTGGAGGCAGATATAATTTGCTTGGCAGATGCATTTTATGTATCGCATGTTAACAAAAATAAGTGTTTTCTCCTTTTATTTTAAAATCTGATTATATATTGCTGATTTAAGCTGTGCCCTGCTTATACACACACACACAAAAAAAAAAGATTAAAAAATGTTAATTGTCTTTTTTTTAAAAAAAAAAAATGATCTCATATTGTTGAAGGTGTCCAACGTCTACATAATTATTTGCATTCTATACATTTATAAAACTATTGCTATTACATAATTAAAAGGTGCTGGTCAACTTGAAAGTAACTGACGCTAAACTAAATCTGAGGGCTGTGAGATGTATGTAAATCTCTCGTTCTCACTTTGGATGGCATTTTTCATTCCTTTGCCTCTTCCAGATATTAATATTTCATGTGTCACGGATGCCTCTGTATACACAGACACACCTTCAGTTAGCAAGATAGAGATTACCTCCAAACATACATATAAATACTCTCAACAGTGCTATGAGAACAACTATTTTTATGGGTCTAACTTTTCTCTTGAAATCATCAATTCTGTTTTCTTGTATGTGAACATCAGTTTGGCGGTTCAATATCCTTTTGCCTTGTGTTGTTGTTGTAAGGCGGCTAGAATACTTATCGATGTTGTCTGTGTACTCTGGTGTGCTGATGATATATGGTAATCCAGTAACAGTTTAAAGAGTTATGATAATGCGCCACGGTTTTATTGCTCGTAATGTATTATGTTTATGTGGGCGTTTTAATTACGACAGCGCTAACTATTTCTCTGCCTCCTTTAGGTAAATTGTAATTAGTCTAGCTGTGGCAGGATCCATACAGCACAAATTTGGTTGTGGACACTGTGGATGATGAAAATATAGCTTTAGAAAAATCTCTCTAAACATACGGCTCAAAGAGATAGTCCACCCAAAAGTGAAAATTCTTTCATTCTTGATGCCATTCAGTACAATTTTGTAACTGGAAACCAGAGCATTCGCATCTCAATGGTGATGTCCTGGCCATTCATCAACTCATGGTGCAGCAGACAGTTTGTGCTTGATTTAGGCGAGAGATCTGCTGGGGACAGTTGCCCTCTGTGTAGATGCTGCATAGTCACACAAACTTCACACACACCTAACTCAAGCCAAACTATAACACTGCTTGCATTAATCGGAGCCCTCCTGATTGATCGGGGGAGGATGAGCTGTTTGATCACATCCCGCCCTTCACTTCACCCCTCACCTTCCTCTGCTTTTGGCAGCTGTTCTAATCTGACACATAACCACTTTAGCGAGGGCCAGGTGATTTTTAATGAATCTTCTGAAGAAGAGTGCAAGGATGAGAGGCATAAAGTTCACTTAAATTCGGATCTCTTTTTGATTTTCCTTCAATAGCTGATACGACAGTTATTTCAGATCCTGAATTTGATTTTTATAGTGACTTGCGGTCTTCACGTCCACTTGGGACAAATGCAGGAAATGCGAGTAGTGCAAAAAACACACATGTTGGTAATGGGTGGTGGTTCGCTAAATCATTAATTCAACCGCTTCGATCAAAACACTTAATATATTACGAATCTTTTGCTCAATCGATTCACTAAAAACTTAAAGGAGCAGTTCACTTTTTAAAAAAACTTTTGCTGATAATTTACTCACCCCATCTTTCTTTCTTCAGTAAACATTCCAGGATTTTTCTCCATATAATGCACTTCAATGGGAACCAAACGGTTTAAGGTCCAAAAGACAGTTTCAGTGCAAACTGTTCAAAGGGATTTAAACGATTCCAGACGATGAATAAGGATCTAATCAAGCGAAACAATCGCTCATTTAAAAAAAAAAAAAAAAAGTTTAAGTTTTATAAGCTCAAATGTTCGCCTTGCTCTGTTCTGTGATGCGCATTCGTGACTCTCCTGTTCAAACTCGTTCATCAAAATGAACAAATCTTTTTTTCGTGTCATTTGGTTCAATCAACAAATGAAATGAATGAGTTGACTCAGGAAAAGATTCATTCATTTTGATGAATGAGTTCGGGGAGTCACGAACGCGCATCACAGAACAGAGCAATGCGAACATTTGAGCTTATAAAACTTAAACTTTGTTGTTATTTATTTATTAAATGAGCGATCGTTTCGCTTGATAAGACCCTTATTCATCGTCTGGAGTCGTTTAAAGCCCTTTGAACAGTTTTCAGTTTGCACTAAAACTGTCTTTTGGACCTTGAACCGTTTGGTTCCCATTGACGTCCATTATATGGAGAAAAATCCTGGAATGTTTTCATTAAAAACCTTAATTTCTTTTCGACTGAAGAAAGAATGACATGGACATCTTGGATGACATGGGGGTGAGTAAATTATCAGCAAAAGTTTTTTAAAAGTGAACTACTCCTTTAAGGAACGAAACACGCAAGTGAGCAATTGAATAATTCGTTCAAATCCGTCTTTTCTACTTCTGTTCGAAGCCAAATAACGTGTCAAAAAATGTAACGTAGACCCTGTTGTCACAGTATACCATGATGTTGACAATTATACGTTTGATAGATGCTAAATAAGTGACAGTATACATTTCATTAGTTAATTCATCTGTCTTCAATGGCGTGTAAAATAGTGAATTCTTTCAGTCTTACTTAAAATATTGTCACATCAGCAGCTCTAACAAATTTGCCATGATAGATAATAGCCCTTAAATTCCTTCTCCATGTTCACTCATTAAATTCAGGAAGACAAAGGGTAATTTATCACTCAGGAAATCCTGATATTGCCCATTCCACACTGAAAAAAGTGATTTTGTCGAGTGGTAAATATAATCTGTGGAAACCATATAAAATGTACATGATTATTGCAGGCAGCCAACGAATCCTAAAGTAATGGGTAAATTCTACATATGCTACCCATTCATCACCAGTAAGAATCATCACATAGAAAAATGGAGTAAAATATACCCCCAAAACGTGAGTTTTTTGCTTTAAATTGCGCATGTGTAGGCCCGCGGTTTCTTTTTGAGTGAGTGTGGGCGACGCTGGATCCTCTCTCTGGCTGCCATCGAACAGCAGAAGTGAAGGTAAGCTATTAACATAGGAGTGCATATATATATTTTTAATTATGAGACATTACACTTCGCTTTTATTGGGCTTTCGTTTGTTTAACATGTCATTACTTGAAATTAAAGTTTGAATCTGTCGATGGCGTCACCATGGCGGAACACATCAAGCCGACGGTCGGCCGTTGGGCACAGATTTCAAAGTTACTATCAGATTTAATGTGATTACCTTGACAAATTATACATTATTAAACATATATAAGACTCAGGTTTCAGTATTTGACCACTGTTTCTGAGAAACTTATAGTGACCATATTAATTAATTTCAGGAGTATGCAATAAAAAACAGTCGATGGCGTTTTTAATATGAATTATGTGCGTCATTCATCCGCTCCCATTCATAAATACCTCTGTCGTCGTCATGACAGAGCTCGACCAAACAAGTGCTTTCAGCTCAAAAATATGCAGATTCTGAGAAATATTTATTGATTATCATAGGTTTCTGTCAGATTTCTGTATAACGTTAGAGGAATTGTATTTATTGAATACACCAAAATGGGCCGATGTAATCATAGCGCTGGATACTCCTCGGATGTAGTGTGTTTTCAATACACACTGGCAGCCGGCGGGCGTCGTGTGCACATAATTTATAACGCTACTACATAATATATCACGAAGAAGAGCCACATGACCTGACAACAAAGTTTCCAAAGATCGCTGAATACTTGCAGATAACATGATTGCAACGATATATGACGCATTATTTGTGTTCTTCAAGCCATGCAGATAACTTCATAATATATTACATTTATAATGTAAGTTAAAGTTAATCGATATAATCTTGATAGTCCAGAATACTATAAAATACAATATTTTATGTCCGTTTTTTTTATCCGAAGCCAAGTCAGATCACAGAAGGTTATTTAAAGCAATCGACATGCATTATAAAGTAATTTTGGAGCAAAAACATGGTTTTATAATCTCATAAATTGTAGTGTATTGATGTGTGCTAAGCTAACATGCTACCTAACCCTCAGAATGCACCTGCCATATATAGCTGTTAGATTTATGTTTTTTTTTTTAATAGGATGTTTACTGAAATGTTTCTTTTTTTAATTTACAGTTGATAGCCTACAGTGTCAACAGAAGTGAAAACGGATTAAAGAAATTGAAGTGGTCAGCCTCAGCCCCTCTGTGGGTGTGTTTATTCTAAAGTGGCCAGCATTATTCACTGAAGCTCAGGTGAGAATTTCTTGTAATTTTTACTTACCACTAGTATACATTCATGTGAATACTATGAGAGCTGGTCTTTAATTTAAAATGTAAATTTTGGTCATTTAACTTCCTAGATCAAGGAGGAGTTTAGACGCATCACAACATATTCCTTGGAGGAGACATTCACACGGAAGCTTGATGAGTACTCACGAGGTCTTTTGCGGCTAATGCGCGCCAAAGGAGAAGTAGCTGGTTGCAAGATGTGTCCTCTGCTGGACACTTTAAATGACGTATGTAATTTTATTTTTTCACAAATATGTAATTATTGATATGAGTGAATTAAAACTAAAGTAATTTGTAAACAATTGATTTGTTGTGCGCAAAGTTGAGCTCCTTACCAACTTAAACCTTTTAACATCAAAGTGTGAATTCGGTCTTATCCATCTATTTTCTTTACTGCTTTGTCCGTTCGGGTCACAAGATTTTTGAGCCAACCCAGCATTTATCAGGTGAAGGGGCAGTGTTCATTCTGGATAGGTCGCCAGTCTGTTGCAGGGCCGTAATTCGGTCTTAGTATATGTAAATCACTCCCCACTTCGCTAACATTCTAACATCACTAAATTGTATCTCCCTACAGACACAGAACATTGAGAAACATGAGATGCTGTTGTCTGCTGCCTCAGTAAAGACAAGACTACCTTGGTGAAAATCAAGAAGATCTTTTCCATTACTACAAGGTATGTCATATTCATAACAGATTTTTGATTAACTCAAAGGATCCTCCTTTCTTCTTGTATCCACCTTCTCCTTTTGCCTTCCACTCCCCCTCTGCTCTCCTTTTAGATAAACTTAAATATATTGAAACAGCATCTTACATTAAATAAAAATGTGCATGCTTTTTGTTTGTTTTTTACATGTAGGAATGTGAGGACTACACAGACAAAAACATGAAGGTGATTGTGAAGCACAATGTCATGGCTGAGGAGGATCCAGATTTGTCTATTGTGATCGAGGGAAACCAAGTAATGGAATCACAGAGTTTAGATACAACAAAATGTGATTGGACTTCTTCCAGTACTGCTCTGATCTCCTCGCTTCTAGTTTCATTTTCTACTCTCTCCTCCTCCTAAAACAGCAATGTTTTATTATCCAACATTATTGAAACAACATTTGATAGTCCAGTGAGTTAACATGTTCATTACTTGAAATGTTGTGTAAAGTTATTGTGCTGCACTGTATTTTGAGTGTTTCATATGAATTTTTGGATTAAAAACATTGATCTGATGAACCATGTGAATGTCTTTATTGTGGGGGGTACATTTTACCTTCTCTGAATAAGTAATTAGCTTTGATTTGAATAGATAATTTTTACCTAATTTTAATGAGTAAGTAGCTGTTGATAAATGGAGGTAATTGTTACCCAATTTATGCAAGTGTTTAATAGCTTTTTACTTCAGATAGTTTATACTCACTAATATGGATTAAATGTACCCCACCAAAGTCGATGCAAATTGTTACCTCACATTTTTTGGGTAAATTCTATAGATTAGTTTTTACAGTGCAGCTCCAAGCAATACTAGCATAGACTCTTATTAAAACTCTGCCCATGGGGCTGAATCTAGTTTACTTTCTGGAATTCACTTTCTCTTCACGCAGATTGCTAGAGATAGAAAATGTATATTAGCTTCTTTCTCTCGCATTCCTTCATTTTTGTTCGGCCCTCTCTCTGTGATAGATTCATCAGAAAAGAATCGAGGGTAAATCTGATGTGCTGAGGTAGATACAATGGAATGTGAGACAACATGGGTGATGGGACTGATGGAAAAGGAAATACTTTAAAGAGATAAAGATAGAATTTATGTGGAAAGAGAGTGAATGGATAGATAAAAGATTGAAACTGTTGTAAAAAAAAAAAAAAAAGCAGATAGATGTATCAGCATAAAATAGAACAAAACTTGCACATTAGAAATTCTGTGAAACTGAAATTTATGGCAAGTATCAAATGCAAATTGTTTATTTATTTCACTGTACACTCAAAAAATGAACTAGAAATTTGTGCACTTTATATAATATATTTATATTTAGCATACTTATAATAATTGTGTTTTCTGACTTTGACTATTAAGGTCTAATTATATCTCAACTTAACAGTACAAAATCCTAACGCACAAAGGATTTAATTTAGGATCTAAACACAAACCATTTATGTTAAGTATAAAATTCTTCCATCCAGAGGGTGGCAGTATAGTGCGAGTCGACTGACATTTTGCAAATTAATCAACTTAACTTGATTGTGTTCAATCTGCTTAAATATATGGTAAGTACAATTTAAATTTAGGATTACATGATTGATTTGTGTTGCATTCATAGATATCATATAGAGACGATGTCTATATGATGTCTATGGTTGCATTAACTGAAACTGGGCGGTGCTTGTTAGTTCCCAGCATGCTTTGCATAAGGTTAAATTAAGAGAGAATAAATGTTAAAATTAAGTGTTATTTTATGTTTTTGGTTTGTTTGTTTTTTGAGAAATTTACAAAAGGGGAAGACTTGCTAGTGTGTAATTGTGTTTAATGTTAAATTATATTGGAATTATTAGAACCATTTAAATTACAGTGGTTTGGCTGTCGACTGGTTCAATAATTTTCAATAATTGAAGGAGCATGTATATCTTAGCTTTTAAGATGCTAATATGTGCTGCTGTTAGCAAATAGCTAGCTATAGTCTATCAATTTAATTACGTGTGACTAAAAGAAATGAAATATTGATGGATGAATGAATATAAATAGTACCTGAATTATGTCAGGAAGCCTTTAAAAATTCACTTTGAGACTATGATGTCCCCATGATGTTGAAGTTACGTGAACAAATTATGTTTGTTTAACCGAACCCAGTTATGTGGAAGCTGTTGATGGAAAAAAAATGATTAAAGCCAATATATCATTTTTTTTGAGTGTACAAATGACATATTCATAGACTATAATACTGAAAAATAACAACATGTGTACAGTAATATTATTGATCTTTTCTAACATAATGTCCCTTTACTTCAAATATTTCCCATGTGTTTTGAATCTCATTTTGACATTGACGACCACAGAGGCAGAATTTAACTTTTAAAACATGCTGTAACAACAAACAGAGTGTGTGTAATGGAGTGCAGCAGATTTAAAAATATTGAATATTGGGAGCGATGCAGAAAATGCATTATATTGAATAATTGAATTTAAATGAACACTGCATAGACCTCTTTATGCATGTTAAGAAATCTTAATGGCAATTGCAATGCAAACGCTCCCATCTTTCTTTCTTTCTTTCTTTCTTTCTTTCTTTCTTTCTTGCTACACTCTCAGAAAAAAAAGGTACAAAAATGAGGCTATACCTTTTCAAAAGGTAAACTTTTGTCTATTTTAGGTGCTAATATGTACATTTCAGGTGCTAATATGTACATTTTAGGTTCTAATATGTACATTTCAGGTGCTAATATGGACATTTTAGGTGCTAATATGAACATTTTATGTGCTAATATGTACATTTCAGGTGCTAATGTGTACATTTTATGTGCTTATAAGTACATTTTAGGTGCTAATAAGTACATTCTTAGGTACATTTCAGGTGCTAATATGTACATTTCAGGTGCTAATATGTACATTTTAGGTGTTAATATGTGCATTTTAGGTGCTAATATGTACATTTTAGGTGCTAATATGTACATTTGTAGTGTTAATATGTCCATTTCAGGAGCTAATATGTCCATTTTAGGTGCTAATATGTACATTTTAGGTGTTAATATGTACATTTTATGTGCTAATATGTACATTTTTAGTGTTAATATGTACTTTTCAGGAGCTATTATGTCTATTTTAGGTCCTAATATGCACATTTTAGGTGTTATGTACCACTAAGGTACCAATATGCAGCCTTTGGGTGCAAAAGATACCTTTTGAAAAGGTATACAGCCCCAGTGACAGCTTTTGTACCTTTTTTTCTGAGAGTGTATGTCATTATCAGACCTACATCCATGAATCTTTTAACAATCTGCGCATTGTCCTTAAGGATTATTTCATAAGTTGCTAGTAAAGAATGGTTTCTCTTTACAGTGATTGACTTGTCTCTATATTCTAAATCAATACTTGCTTAGACACTTGGCTCTGTATTTCCCCATGGGCCCATTCTCCTGCCAGATGACAGTCTGCTTCTGCATGTATTTCATGCTGATTAAAGGTACCTGTTTGTTTTAATAATTACTAATTATTAAATTAATCATGATCACCAAAGCGTCACCAAAAATGATAACTTAAATGCCTATAATGTTTGTGTGTGTGTGTTTGTGCTCTTACGAAGCTGTGATTCATTTTTCACTGCTGCCATATTTTAATTCCCTGCTGAGATAAGAATGGTCCCTGAAAGAGTCCCTGTGGAAATCACAGGAGGCAGTGGTGGGCTTGCAATTGCTTTGCACTCAGGAAAAGAGTAATGAATAATCTATTGGCACTACAGGAGGGGCGGGTTAAACGGGTATCGGTTAGGAGGGAGAACACGGAGACGATCACCGATTCCTACATATTTCAGTGCATTTGATCCCACTGGTATTAACCTACTTTATAGTTATGTTTTTCTTCTATATTAGACATAATTTTTTAGCTTCCACAATGCTCAAAACAATAAAAAAATGTAAAATATTTCGGCCGTTTGAATAAGCGCAATCGTTATTGTGACAAACATCATTTTTCCTTTGAGGAAATCAATGCTAATTAAAAGGCCAACAGTTTCTTGCAGGCGCCTTGTGGCTCTCTCATTCAAATCTCTCGTTCTCTAAGATTTGTTTTTATGATAATCAAATGTAAAGAGACAGTTTAATAAGAAGATATAATGAGGGTCCCTACATGACAAAGACACTGATGATGTCATAACAAAGTCTTAAACAATGTCATATTTGCATTCAAAATGTCATTATTGAGCGAAAGACACTTAATGACAGTTGTCATAAACATGCATACTTCATATTCAATATGTCATGTCATGATTATGAAGGTGTCATGTCAGTCTTATGCACACCCCTTCAAGTAAAGTGTTACCACTCTGACTATACAGAAAGCTCTCTAAACTCAGGGCAGGGTCACGGATTTCAGTGCCAAACTCTGAAATTAGATTTTACTTCGCTCCCATCAAACAGTTATTGAATTACTTTGACGACTTCACTGTATCCCGTTAGTGCCTGAAAGCAAAACCACGGCAGAGAGCTTTTCTTTCCCAAAGAATCAGTTCTTCTGAAAGCAGTCTGTTTGACTCTCTTGTCTGGGGAGCCACCCAGGCCACCTTAGAAGTTAACAAATATGAGTGTGAACCAAGAATAGCACATCTGCAAGAAGATGTGCCTAGAATTTGATGTCTTTCAATAACAACAGATTACGTTGCCAAATCACTGCATGGTTCTTCGGTGTAAAGTTTAAGGTTTCAAACAGGAAAGCTGAATCCCACGGTCTGGTCAAGATGTTCTTTCTCAACCGCCCAAATATTTGGACATTCAATCTAATCTCCATGCGTAATGAGCTAAGGGAATTAAATAATCGAGGATGTCTGCCATCAACAAACCAGAGGTTGTTAAATGATCTCAAACTGGACTTTGCACTCAGATGACTGCCAAATTTAGTGGCCGTTTTGCCTGTTCGGGCGCTC